CAGTCCAAATCTCCCTTGGCGACTTCAGATTGCAGTAGAGATCATAGAGTCGATCTGTCAAGGTATTCAGAATATGACCGCGACACAACAGTTCATCATGTTCTCGTTTCTTCCTTTCTTCCTTGACTGCATCAGAATCTTCTGATGTAGGCTCAGGCATCGCAGGCAAGGCAGAATCAAGAACATAGTAGATATTGAGAGCAGACAACAAGAATATCATCTTGTCTCTCCAGCGGGTAAAATTCGTTCCATCAAAGCGATCAAATTTGATGAACTCCTTCGGATTCTCAACAACAGACATCAATTTCTCCATAGCAGAATAACTCTTCAAGATTGTTAGAAAATAATAAACAAAAAAATGGCTTTGAGGCGTGAAAATCGACTGTCCTTAAAGAGTTATCGCCCGTATACTAATTTAGGAAAATACAAAACGATTCTCTTCAGGATACAACAAAGCCTGAAATAATACTTGTGATTTTTCTGTGCTACTTCGTTGGAAATTCTTGAGTATTTATAGGCAACCAACAGACCTTTTCAGAAAAGATGTCTTGTTTCACAAACAGACATATTCAGTTGGACCCTTTCATAACAGACACAATTATTTATTCGAATTTTGAATTTAAAATTCAAATAAAATTAATTTTTTTTTTTGTCACAAAAATAAAATAATTAATTTTAGGATCCGACCCGGCCCAAGCCCAAGCCCAAGTCCAAGTCCAAGTCCAAGTCCAAGTCTTTGATTATAATATATAAATGTATAGTGTACTTAATTGCACAAACTTAAAAGTATGTGTCCTAAATCAAAGACATAAAAGGGACAAGTGCTTAAAAGGCTCCAAAAATGCCTTCTCTCTTCCGATGTGGGAACAACCCACTTTCCAACATAACAAACTATCTTACATAGCCGCGAAGTGCTTCAAGCTTGCTAAATACAAACATGTGCGCAAGCTGGCCTGAACCACACCATAATTAGGGGTGTTCATAAAAATTCGAAAAATCGAACCAAACCGAAAACCAAACCAAACCGACCAAAAAAATCGATACTTTTTTGTTTGGTTTGTTTTTGGTTTTAAATTTTAAAAATCGATCAAATTTGGTTTGGTTTGGTTTTGGTTTTAATCAGAAAAAAACTGAACCAAACCGACTATAGGAGTAGCTATTTCAAATTTATTATTACACCTATATATATGTATATTGTTATACAAAGTTTCAAAAAATTTATGGTAAATGTTAATAGTTTGCACTTTTAATTAATATAGTTCTTTACCTTTATATTCTAGTTTGATTGGTATTTTTCTTTTGTTTAGTGTAAGAATTTATTTCGTGTTAAAAATAACATATTTTTAATTGAGTCCTTAAATTATTCATCACTATTTGATTCAATTATCATCAATATATTTTGATAAATAATAGATTTCTCAAAGAGCAATTGATTTGATAGTGTTACATTGAAAATATGGTCGCCGGAATATGTGATTGGTAGTGTATGTCTTATATTTAAGAAAACCCGACAAATAACCGAAAAAACCGACATAAACCGAATTGAGAAAAACCGACTTAATTGGTTTGGTTTGGTTCTAATATTTGAAAAACCGACTTATTTGGTTTGGTTTCTCTTTAGGGAAAAATCGATCCAAACCGAACCATGAACACCTCTAACCATAATTAAAAGAACGATAATGGGTCAAATATATCCATGTACTTTCGAAAATGTCTAAGAATACCCCTCGTTATACTATTGGGTTATCAATACCCCTGTTGTCATACTTTAGAACAAAAATACCCCTATTTTGGGTGGAGTGCCACGTGGCAGCACCAGATTAAAACTACCCATTTTTTTTTAGCCGATCCGTTTTAAAAAAAAACTCCCGACCCAATTTTCACCCAAAGTAAAAAAAAGAGGAAATAACACTAAATGCCTATCACTCCCAAACTATTTACCCGGATTTGCCCATTTGGAAATTAATTACAATTCCTATCTAGGCAACCTAAATTTATTACCCGTAAATTTACCTGCAGCGTGAGGGAGCAGTTGAAAATGCAACAATTCATTTTAGTAAGGGCGGGTTTGCTTCATCGTGAAAGAAGACAAGTTAACAGTCTTCTTTGGATACTACAAATTGGGAAAATTCGTGGAGTCAACTCTTATTATTGCTTGGTTTCCAAGCCTAAATCGTGTGAGGAGTTTCTGGTAAGAGCTGATACAACCATGCACACACATACGCGTCAGACAAATCTTAAATCAGCACGTGTTTCGTTCTATTTTATTCTATGATTTGATCTCCAAGACTTCTGACTTCTGCAAAAATTTTAATCTGCTATTTAAAGACCTTGAAGCTTTGAAACTCATAAATTGGATTTATTGAGTTTGTGGTTATTTTGATCAGATTCTGACCGAGTATGTTTGAAATGTTAATTGGAGGATGTGGCTATATTCCGAGTCAATTTGGTGGAGATTTTAAAGTAGATTTTTAAATCTTGGATTGAAATTGAGTTGAACGGCAAAGAAATTAGTTGAACCGGAGAAGAAGACGAATTTGTATTGTATACCCAAATAGTATACAAATATACCATTTTAGTATACAATTCATTCCAACTATATACCCTATTAGTATAGCTATATACTATATTAGTATCATATGCTAGTCGAATTATTTTTTGGTTGTATTAGCTGCATTTAATTGGTACAATATTTGATTTTTTTTTAATAATAATAATATAGTACAATATCTTGAAATACCTTATTATATAATATGTGGTACACTATTTTTTTTATTTGAACCAGAGAAGAAGATGAATTTGTATTGTATACCCAAATAGTATACAAATATACCATTTTAGTATACAATTCATTCCAACTATATACCATATTAGTATAGCTATATACTATATTGGTATCATATGGTAGTTGAATTATTTTTTTATTGTATTAGCTGCATTTAATTGGTACAATATTTGATTTTCTTTTAATAATAATAATATAGTACAATATCTTGAAATACCTTATTATATTAATATGTGGTACACTATTTTTTTATTTTTCTCTTTATGCATGTGTGTTATGTAATAGTAGTATAATCATATAGTTGCCGGAAATTAACTAGTAAAACTGTATACCATGTTGGTATAGTTATATGCCATATTGGTATCATATGGTAGTTTGAACATTATTTTGGTTGTTTTAGTTGCATTTTAAGTGAATTCTATTATGAAATTATTTATATCAACATGAGTTGCAATAATGCTGGAATTTTTGTGTGCCGATAGACATAAATTATGTGTATTAATAGTTTTATAGTTTTAGGCAATTGTTGGAATGACTCCATACAACTATATACCCTCTTAGTATGCGAAATGAGGAAGTTATTTTGCGAATATTTAACTTGCAATACGAGCATGTAATTTTCTCATGCTTTTATTGCGTCCTTTAATGTTTTGGTAGAGTAGTATAGTCGCAGATAGTTGTAGCAATATTCTAGAGAAATCATATGCTCTGTTGGTATACATATATACCATATTGGTATCACATGGTACTAGAAGTCTTTTTCGCTACTTATACTTTTGTTCTATTCTTTAATATTTTATTATTATTTTTTATTCTAACTAGTATATATGGAGATTTGATTGCCGTAGATTATATTTTCTTGCTCTATAACTCGTTGTATTACTGCTAATGGTAGAGTGTGTATTAATATTTATAGGGAAGGAGATCAAGGTTTGCATGGCAATCACGTGTTGATTCTTAGAATCTGATTATGTAATTTATGGTGCTCAACAGCAGTCAATGTGATATTCAGTGTATTAGATCAAGTGACAACTGATATTATTTTAGTTTAATAATTGAATTTAAAAAATGAGAAAGAAAAATAAAATAAAAGGTATATTGTACTAGTTATATTAAAAAAAGGTGAACAAATATTTACTATATCAATTATTTTTCTTATTGTATAAAAAAAGAATGATAAAAAATAGTGAAAACAGTAAATGAAATTAGATTATGAAGAGAAAAAAAATATTAAAAAAAGAAGTTAAATGAAATTAGAAAAGAAAAAAAGAAAAAAAATAAGAAGATACGAGAAAAAAGAAAAACAGAAAAGAAAAAAAAAAGAAAAAGAAGAAGAAAAGAAGCATAGAAATAAAAAAGAATTGGAGAATAAAGAAAAAATTCTCTACAAAAACTACTATGGGTAGGAAATGTAATTAGTTTATGGGTAGACAAAGGTAAATAGTTTTGTTTTTGTGGATAACTGTGTCAAAACCCCTAAAAAAAATCCCCAATCTAAGTCCTAACTTTAAATTTAAAAATATTGTTATTTTTACTTCTCGTTTATTTTTAATGATAAGTTTGTATAATACACAAATTTTTAATCTGAAGATTTCAAATTTCAAAAGTTTAAGTGTTCTGATATTCTTAACCTTATATTTTAAAGTATTTTTTTTTCTAAATTCAATGTCGAATCAAAATTTACCAAGTAAATCAAAATAACCTGTTGATTAATGAATTAAAAAAAATGAGAAACTAGAATTTAGTCGTAGAAACGAAAAAAATACTAAGATGATTTTGTTTAAATACTTAACTCTCAGTAAGCAAATATTAAGGAAAATTTTAAAATTTCGGTTTTTCGGTTCGGTTTTCGGTTATTAAGTTTTTTAGTTCGGTTAACCGAAAAACCGAATTATTAGCATATATGTTCTTTAAGTTATATATAGGCTAAACCCATAGGTAATAAATTAATATTATTAGGTCCAATCTATCAAAGACTCAACTCAATTAAGTAAGTCCATCAACTTTTCAATCTTAAAGACTCTCAGTCTATTAAAACTTCCATAGCATATGTGATAGATACCGAGAGAATTTCACACAGAGTTGTAATTTACACTATGTTTGAATTTTATGATCCATAATAGTGTGCAAAGTTTAGTCTATTTTTTTTTCTATAAACACAATATTTCCAACAATTTCAAAGTTTTGGAAAAAATCAACAAATTCGCCGGTCATATTATTAAATAGAAGGAGTCCAATATGATAATGTTCAAACCGAAATAACCGAACGGAAATTAGAAAAATCGAACTGAACCGAACTTATTTCAGTTCGGTTTCGGTTACTACTTTTACAAAACCGAAAACCGAATAACCGAAACGACCGAATGCCCACCCCTAATTACGACAAGGCAAAACACAGTGTTATACTACTACATCAACATTTGTTGCAAACTGTTCAATTGTAACTTCCAAAACATTTCAGTCGAAGTTCACAATCTGATTAAATCTACTTGTTTGGTTATCCAAATACATGTAGACTACTTCTGCTTTAGGTGATGCACGGAAAAAGTTTGAGAACTCGGCGAATATTTCTGATCTTCTGTCAAGAGATATGAGATTTATGATACATAGATACGATGGATCAATTAGCACTCTTACCAACACTGGGGACTTGGCTAAGAAAAGCTTGATAAGCTGCATTTCATGTGTCATTCCTGAAAAGATTTTTAGCTTAACTTCCTTGAGGTGATTAAATATCACATCCAAGAAACGTTCGAGTTCAAGCGATTCTACAACACCAGCATCATGATGATCAAGAACCTAAGAAAAATAAAAAGAAGTCAATTCCCAGGTTATTGAGGATCTAAGAACAACAACAACATCCCAGTTTATTCCCACAAGTGGGATCTGGGAAGGTAGGATGTACGCAGCCTTATCCCGACCCTGGAAGGGCAGACAGACTATTTCTGGAAGACCCTCGACTAAAGAAAAGATGAAAGAAGCACTGATAGCAAGTAATAACAATACAGGATATTTAGAAAACTAAATCCAAGATAGCAAAGGATGAGATGAAAGAAGTACTGATCACAAGTAATAACAGTGATTGAGGATCTAAGTAGTATGAAGAAAAAGCCACTAAAAAATAAGAAAGAGAGAAAAGAGTCAAAGCACTAAGAACCTCAATTTCGAATGACTCCAAGTATGGGAAGCTTCTTATCAAGCAAAGATAATATGACAACTTATATGATTCCCTCAGGTTCATACAAGGCACGTAAAAATGCTTGACACGGTTATGATCAAAGGGAAGCCTTGTTGGTGCTTGATCTGCACCTGCATCATCAAACTAAGAAAAAGAATATCAAAATTCAAGATGACTCAGCCCAAAAGAAGTTCGATGTGTTAATACGTGCATAACACTGAAATCATAAAGCAACATCTACCTTGTCACCAAAGTACAAGCTGAGGTGCTCGAGAGCAAAACAAGACTCGAAAAATTTTGCAAGATAAAAGTTCTCTGCTTCCATAGAAGAACCTCGACATAAGTGCAGAGATGCTTTTGTCAGAAGAGGGACATTCTTTAGACAGAGAGAACTTATACTGCCTGTGAAATCAAAGGATTTCAGCATGGGGGCATTAATCTCAATTATGTTTAAAATTTCTGAGACGTCCAACACCAACTGCTCAAGCAACGGGCAATGATTTATTAAACTTTTGAGCAACTCAAAAGAAATTGTGACCCTAAACAATTCCAGGCTAACTAAACTTCAAAATCCTTTAAAGGCTGATGGAGGATGTATTGAGCAATCATGAAGAGTCAAATGCCTAAGCTGCGAACATTCAAAAAGTGAAGAAGGCATTTTGTATATCTTATCCCATGGAAAGTGAAGAACAAGATGTTGAATGTCATTCCTTGAGAGGAAATATATGAAGTTGTCAATCGTAGGACATCTTTTCGAACGAGCAACGTCAAGCTTGAACTTAGTAATGGGTCCTTCATGAAGGGTCAAAATTTGATATATAATCTTTGTAAATTTAACTGTAAGGTATAGTTTATCCGTTTTTGTTTTCCAAAGAGATTCATCAAGCTTCAACTTTGTAAGTCTACACCAGTGATACCTCCATTTTTCCGATAAGATGCTTGTTCTCACAGCATCTTTACAAGGCAAACGCATCAGAATGACATAGATTACAGTATCAGGAAGGTTGCTAATGACGTCAGGACCTAAACTTCGACGATTCTTTCTTCCTTTAGGAGGCATCATATAAGAATAATCACCAAGAACCTGTAGAAAATAAGCAATAATACAAAGTTAGGAATCTCCAAACTATTTGGACAGAACGGCTATTCACATTGTCGAACCAACAAAAGAAATAAAGGTGCATTCGAGTTGAATTCAGTCAACTATCTCCTCTTAGTATCAATGTTACACGGATATTCTAATGTGACACCCTAGGCGAATCCACATCGACAAAACACGGGAGAGATGTTAGGTATATAAGTAGACAAGTCTTAGACCCTGGTGACGTATTTTAAACTCATGACGGCCTAGGCCTAGAGGGGATAATATCACTACCGGGCTGGGCTGTTGCATCTAATTTTCCTTGAGATACCCATATCAGGCTAACAGAGTGGCTATTCTAATTTCTAACACCTCTACAAGATATTTAACATAGCTTAATATCCATTATTTGCATTCTCACGACAAGAAGAACCTTCTATCAATATTTCATAAATACATTTTTGGGTTCAAAAGGAAAAATGCAAAGAACAGAAATAAATTTCAAAGCATAAAAACCAGAATAATTTCCAAGATTTGGTCTTTTTTTAAAATTAAGCTGAAGAAGCAGTTTTGGCTGGATTGTAACATCAGATTAGTAGTTTTAATAGTATTAATTTTGCAAACCATAAAGAATCTATAATTGCAATAAACACCAATTAAAAAGGAGGTATTTACATTTTAAGTAATTATTTAGAGCCGGGGGACGGGGGGGGGGGGGTTGTACATTTTGAAGCGTACCAAGACGTAAGAAAACCGATGATGTCAATTCTTCAACTGTTCTGAACACTTCAGTTTGACCTTTCAACTCTAGGGTTCATCGCCAATTCAAAGAGAAAGAGGATTTATTTAAAGGGCAAAGGTACAAATTGACCCTGAACTTTGTAAATGGTTCAAATTAGTCCTCCATTAATGGTTATTGTCAGATCTACCCTTGTCGTTATAAAGATATTATATGTTAAATTTGCTGGAACTCCATCACCAATCCTTCTTGATCACCCACCACTCACCACAGCTCCACATCACCTCCAAATACTAAGGGTTTGTTTGGAAAGCCATATGATAATTAGAATTGGTGTAATTACTAGGGTAATAATTATACAATCTAATAATACAGTATTGTAACTACAATGACATATTTGTTTGTCATAATGTGATTAGGCATACTGTTTGGTTGCACAAATATAATTATACAGTTAGATTAAATTTTAAATAAAATTAATTATTAAAATATAAAAATTAAAAGTTAAGATTTAATATATATATATATATATATATATATATATATATTTCAAATTAAGTAATATTTTGCTTTAGTCAATTGTAAGAATTAAAAGTACATATTTTGTAAGAACATCATGGACTGCATCCTTGATAAAATGATTAATATTTTATAAATATAATACCATAACACTACTCAAATTTTTTACGAAAAAATAATCTATCAACCTTAACTGAAAAATGAATGGCTGACAATTTGAATTAATAAGTGAATATTATTAAAGCAAATAAAATAAAAGTGGAAATATAACATAAAATTCAAAATTCAGAAAAAATTAGCATAGTACACTTTTGTAAAATTACAACATAATCTAAAATAATTTTCAATATGGTTTAAATAAATATAATTCAAAAGTAAAGGAAAACATAATTCTATAACCTCATTCAACAATGAGATCCTATTTTAATCACATCAATCATTATATGCTAAGTTTATTAATGATGTATTACTTCTAATATTAGGCGGAGTAGTTTCAAAATTAGAATAACAGCACAACTATGCTAAATGAAGAAAATAATAATAAAATAAAAATATGAGCAAATAGGAATCACAAAAAATAAAGGTTAAAAAATAAGAATATTATTTAAATATTAACAAGTAATCTATCATTATACTACAGTTAAATTTGCACATAACCTCATCCAATAATAAAGTTGAACTTTAATGATATCACTCATTATAAGTCAAGTTTATGGATAACTTATTCTTTCTAAGATTACGGGGTATAACTTTTTAGAAAAATTAAAATAATAACATGGCTAAATGTAATAAAAAAAATTTAAAAAAAGTATGAGAAATTATATAGAAACACGTGGGGTTCGAAAATGAGAATAAGGAAATAAAAAAAATACTGTAAAAACTAATACTTAAAAAAAGAATTTAAAAACTTGAGAAAATTAAAAAGAAAAAAATAGAAATAAAAGTCAAATCATAAAGAAAAGAAAAGATATTCAAAAAATAACCTGGTAATTACACCATGTAATTGTAATTACCAACAATTCCCAACTCCCCATTGAGAATTGCATAGTGTAGTTACACCCCCTCAATTACACTCAATTACATGCTAACCAGGTAATTACTTAGTCAGACAAACATGTCAAAACTGTGTAATTACACCCAAAATCCAATTATAGGGTGGCTTTCCAAACAGGCTCAAAGTGGGCGTTTGGACATAAGAATGATAAAATTCTGAAAAAAGAAAAAAAAATTAAGTGAAAATGTTATTTAAAAATAAGAGTCGTTTTTTGAACATGAATATAATCTTGGGTTGTTTTTGAATTTTTGTGAGTGATGTGAATGAAAATTTAGAAAAACAGCTTTTTGGAGTTTTTAAAATTGTCGAAAAATTCTAAAATTCATCTTCAAATGAAAATTAAAAATTTTATGGTCAAACATTAATTTCGAAAAAAAAAGTTAAAAAAATTTTATGGCTAAACGGGCTCTAAAACACTCAGTTGACCCTTTATTAGTAGAAAAATATCTTCTCTTACACCAAACACAACCACCGTAACATTACACCATGAATATTGTTGGAAAAATACAACAAAGTACAGTTAAAAAATAAAATGAAGAAAATTAAATAAATATTCTTCAGGTTGAAGCGCGAATATCTCGCTCTCTTTAAGGAGATTCAGGGCTGTTGCGGTAGAATTTTAATTTACCGGTCCATCAACAATACTCTCAACTTGTCACATTCATGATACAATAGCTTGATGTCGTATGACTCAAAGAACTCCGAACTAGTTGTTGCGTCCAAAGCTCGACCACAAAAAAATACCTTCATTCGACAAAATAATATTCTCTTTTCTAGTGAATAAGTTGGAAATATAATTAAAAAAATGTTCTCTCAAATCTCTCTTTTTTACTACACCAACTTTTTGATAATTATTAAACCTCATTACCAAAATTGAAAATGTATGTACAGATATTTAAAAAACCTTAGCTTTAGGACATTTTCCACAAGCATGTTGTGTAATCCATTGTAACTCATCGCCCCACTATATTGCATTCCTTCTAATTAAACTTCAGCCAAACAATCTCATATACCTCACCATCGAAAAGGGTGTTCAAATTTAAAAGAAGTAAAAAAAATCTCCGATAAAATGTGTTCAATATATGTTATATATCTTTAAAATCGAAGTAATATTTTATTTGTATTCACAGTGAAATTTTCCGACGAAGAGTGATCAAAATTACACGACGAAATGTGGTAAATTTTGACCACCCTTCTCAGAGTGTAGCTTTGCACCTGTACCTCACATGTGAAGAAGAGGTGGAACAGACTTTTATTTCGTTACTGATTCTTTCTCATTTATGCATTATGGAACTATAATTTTACCTTAAAGTGTGAAAATCTTTTATGGAAATTATACCTTAAAATACTTGTTCATACCAACAACAACCCAACCCAGTATAATTCCATACGTGGGGTTTGGGGAGGGTAGTTTGTACTCAAACTTTATCCCGCCCCGAGGGCAGATAGGCTGTTTTCGAAAAACCCTCGGCACAAGGAGATGAAAAAAAAGGCACTTGTGTTCATACCAAAAGCGTGAAAAACTTCTATGGAATTGTCCAAAAAGAGATGAAACCCAGGGCTTTGGTTCAATCATTAAGACAATCATGGAATAAGTAAGACACTTATCCAAAATGCAGAAACCTCATCAACTTCATTATCCGATTCATCCATAGATACCTAAGAAAGATTATAAAGATTGAAGATCTAATGAGAACGAAAATAAGGAAGTTGTCATTACATATGAATAGCACATACAAAAGAAAATGAAAACTATAAACATCATTAATAACCTTCACTTCGAGAGTTTGTAAATATGGGGCACTTCGTATCAAGCAAAGAGCACAGGAAATATCATCTAATTCATCCACAGATACGTAAAGATGTTTGAGATGGTCAAGAGCAGAGGAAAGCCGTTTTGGTACATCAGCAACCAAGAACTACAAATAAAATGAAAAATCAGGATGACACGAAGCCCGTAAGATGGTACATTTAATGAGAATACATAACAATAAAGTTCTGAAGCAACATTTACCTGGGAACTTCCATATTCCAAGTGCAGATGCTCAAGAACAGGAAATGACCGAAGAAATTTGTCAAGATCACATTTTTCTGAATCTTCATAAGATTCACCATACATAAGAGAGAGTTTAGTAAGATGAGGAACATTTTTTAAGGAAATAAATTTTGTACAGCCTGTGAAACCGAAAGATTTCAACAAGGGGGCTTTAATTTGAATGTGGCTTAAAGTATCTGAGATTTTCAACACTAAATTCTCAAGGTACGGGCTAGAAGAGATTAAACTTTCCAGTGATATGGAAGAAACTGAGACATGACACAGTTCCAGGCTAATTAACATATCGAATCCTTTGAAGGCCGGTGGAGGACATATTAGACAATTCTGGAGGGTCAAATGCCTCAACTGGGAACAAGTGAAAAATGACGAAGGCAATTTGTATAGGTTCCACTCTGAAAATTGAACAACAAGATGTTCAATGCCGTTCCTAGAGAGCAAATATATCAAGCTGTCAATCTTAGGATACTTTTTCAGTTCAGACATGGAAAGGGTAAACTTAGTAATCGGTCCTGAATGAAGGGTCAAAATGTTGTACATAATGTTTGTAAACTTAATAGAAGGGGATAGCAAGTTATTTGTCGTCTTCCAAATTTTATCATCAAGTGTCAACTGTGGAAGTCTGCACCACTTATACCTCCATTTCTTCGATAAGATGCTTGTCCTCACAGCATCACGCAAAGGCAAACACATCAGAATGGCATTGATAACATTCTCAGGGAGATTGGTAGGTAAACTTTCACAACCATGTTTTTTGCGCTTAGGTGGCATCATACAACACTGATAGGACTGCAGAAAATAAACAAGAATATAAAGGTAAGTAATCTACAAATTATCTGCATTTAGTACATAGAGAACACTCTGATGAATGGCATTCTTTAGAGCAAGAATACCTTCCATAAATACTTCATGAATCCAAGGGATTATACAGATTTGTTATTGGAAAGAGAAAATCAAAAACATCACATACGAGAAACACATCATCTTTTGCCTCTAATAAACTTCTCAACGGACATCTGTAGCTACACGGCAAGGAAAGATATATGTCCAGTATTTGCTAAGTTTCACTCTAAGTTAGTTCTTGGTTGGTAGGACATAAATTAGACACAATGTATTATTAGTAGGTTCGGTGGCGATTGGTGAAAATTAAAGTAGAATTAGTTTGATTAAGTTGCACACCGCGAGGAGTCCCTTGCACCATAAACGATTCGCTTCCATTTGATATAGAAAGGAAAAATACTTTAAATAATTTACACCAATACCTAACTTCAAAACAATCCAATGCTTACCAGCCTATCCCCCCCCCCCCCCCCCTCCTTCTATATCGCACCCAACTTCCAAGGGTATGGCATAACGGTCAATGAAGTGGGATGAAAACCATGAGAGAATAAGGTTCAAATCTAGCTTTAGGTAATTTCTTTCCATCTACTAAACCATAATGGATGTAGTTACAAGTGCCTGTGGAATAGTTGAAGCCCTCAAACTCGCTAGGGCACCACTGTTTTAGGGGGGGACTCTCTATGTCACATTTTCTAGAATAAATTCTTCTACTCCAACACTACATCAATCCTTTAGAAGATTCTGGCAAGCGCCATTTACTTCTAGAAGATTCAAGAACATGCCCCGAAACTGAGCTGTGACTTTACTGTGGATGAATAAGTGTTCTACATCTTCCTAATCTTCTTCGCACATTACACACCTGTTGCAAATTATCAATCCCCTTCATTGTAAACTGTGTTGGGTCAAGCAAGCCTCTCTAGCCACTAACCAAAAGAAGCATTCAACCTTGTAAGGTGCTTTTTTTTTCCTCATATCCTTTTGCATGGCCATATTTGTTGTTGTTGACTTTCCTGAGACAAGATCTTGTATGCAGACTTCACTGGAAAATACACATCTTTGTGTTCCTTCCATATTATCCTGTGAGGTGTAAACTGCAACTCTTGGAAGAAATCACTGGTACCAGGTAGCTCTACGGCTCTACCCACCAAGGCTTGGGTGGATCGGAAGAAATCACCTAATGTTTTCGTCTTCGGTAGTATTGAACCGAGACCTCATGGTTCTCCTCCTACTTCTTTCTAATTATTTGCTTCCATTATGATCACTCATTACAGAACCTCCATAACCATTAGCAATCCCGAAATTGTTTATACCATTGTGGTATTATTTTTACCCCCCCC